GTTATTTCTTATATTTATTATAATAAATTTCATTATAAGTATATTAAGTATATTTTTCTTTATTTAAAATAAGTTCCTAAATATTTTAAGAAAATAAAGAAATATAAGACTTTTAATATTTCTTCTATAATTTTAAAAGTCGAAGATAATAAATTTATTAATAAAACTCTCGAAAATACTTAAATAGTAAATAGAATTATACTTAATATTGTAAATATAATTATTAAAAGGATTTAATTTATTGGATTATTATATAATTATAATTAAATATTAATATTAAAAATTAAAGAATTATTTAATAGTTCTCTTAAATTATATTATTCAGCCACGTTTAACAGAAATAATATAATAAAATTATAAAAATATTTCTATAATATATTTTAAATTTATAATTTATATTATTATTAATAAGAATTTCTTTTTTACTTTTAAAGAAATTCAAAAAGTAATTTCTTAAAAAAAGGTATTTATTGGTTTATATTAAATATTATAAATATATTAATAAGTCTTTTAATTATTTTATAAATAGCTAAGTTATATAAATAAATTATTTTATATTATAGTATATTAAAAATAAATATGTTAATTCTATATAGTACACATAAATTAATTGAATTAAAAATATTATTTAATTATCTAATATAGAAAGCGTTTATTATTCATTAAATATAATTGTTCTTAATCAAAAGTAATTACTGGATATTAAATATTAAAACGGAACATACTATTCGTATAGAAATAGTACATATATATATAAAAATTAAAATAAAATTCGTAGTTGGAATTTCCTGTATACTAAATATATCTAAAGAACTATCAATATAATACAATTACATTCCCCTCTTACGCTTCTACAGCAAAATCGCCTTAACTACTCTACGCTATTTAATATCGGAAATAAGAATATTTTCTATCTCCTCCAATTCATTAAGTATTATTTTATTTATAATATTATTTTTCTTATCCTCCGTCCAAGGAACTTATACTTCCTCTACTTCTTCCTTCTTTATTTTCTTCTCCTTTAGCTCCTTCTTAACAAAGTATTTAGTACCCTACTTAATATAGTAATAATATATATAGGCGCCGCCAAACCACTTTGGGTAAAGCGTAATATATTTGGCCGTTAGGCGTATAGTAGCTTCGTTGGCGTATTTAGTATAATCGTTACTATTATACTCCTCTTTAAATAAATATATTATAATAGTAATTATTTACTTAACTATATTAATTTTAAGGATAATAGTTTCTTATACCTTATTTTTAAAAAATCTTTTTAATTTCCTATAAATATACGAGGGTTTATTAGAGCCGATAATGTTAGATTGCTTTTAATATCATAATATAATTTTAATATACCGTTTTATTCTTTAAGATTTATTTAATAGAGCCCGTAATATACTTTATAATTCTAATTAATAAATAAGCGGTTTACTCTTTTGTATTTAAAGTCTCGCTCTACCAAATAAGGGGCGGCGATAATAGGCAGCTAACAAATTAAAATGGTGGCAGTATAGTAGGGATTTGTGTAGGGAGCAGTAAGGGATTTATAAGAAAATTTAGAAAGAGTAGTAGGGAGCAGTAGGGAAGTATGCACACTAGTTGTACAATATTGAAGTGTAAAGGTATAGAAGGAAAGGAATTGATTTAACGAAGAGGAGTGTACGTACGTTTGTATACGGAGTGTTAATAATTTCTCCGATAAGTGGTTATAGTTGAGAGTTCGGACTAGTTTTCAATTGAGCATAGCCAATATTTGGGCTACTGTACTATTGCCTCTTATTAGACAACAGCCTGCACCAGTCAATCCACTGGATGCAGCCACCGGAGAGAATGGCGGGGTTGCGTTGCGACTCTGCGAAATTCCCAAAGCTATGCTCCTTCTTGTACGACCACCGCTACACGCTTTGTTTCGTTCTTACATTTTTCCTAGTGCCCGACACATCTCGACACATCTGGCATCATCTGATGGCATCTGGCAGAAGACCACTCAATCCAGATCCACGTTCGACGAGTCACAAATGATAGCAGCCTGGAGCAGTGGAGACTGAGGGAGATGAGGGACACTCAGGCTGAGGAAGGAGTGTCTGGCAAGATGGCTGGAAGGGCACAGATGGAGGCGCCCAAATGGATAGGGAAAGAACGGTTCCGTCCCGTGTCAGTGCATTTGCCATTGCCAGTCACGGTACATCATGTTCGACGAGCGATCTCGGATTGCAGTTGAAGGAAACCGGTGAGTGCAACGTGAGCGTTCCTTCCATATCTGGGGAGACGCTAGCAAAAGTTGAAGCAGTCTCAGGCAGTCACGACGCCGACTGGAAACTGCATCGGTCTGAGAAGACAACTGCAACAAATGAAGCCGTCCAGAGTTGTCCCGCTTGACAGAATACTCGACAGAATGACAGTACCATTACGTACCTTGTTACAATTCGGCAAGTCGCCCACGGCGAGGCCCCCGAGACGTACGCTGGCTCCAAATACCCGGTAGCATGTTGTCGGGACGATGAACCTACGTGCAGCAGTTCCTAGACGCAGTCTTTGCAAATCATTCCTGTGACTGTGTCTCGCTTGTTGTTTGGAGGAACAAAAGATTTGAAGCGCACCAAGGTGTTGGTAATTATGTTGGACGTGTAATGATGATTCTTCCTCCTTGGTAGTTCCACTATCTACGCTACCTGTAGCTAGCCCTGCTTAACCGCAAGCACAAAGTACTTTTGGTATGAAGCAGCCATTGACAGCCGTACACACATGCTCATCTTACGTGCTGCATGTACGGTGTCGAAACATACAGTGCCTGCCGCCGCTCACTGTCTTATATCCCATTGCTCCTTCCCAAGTCGTCAACGCGTCTCGAGACCCCAGTCGGATGCAGCAGGCATTTCCCCCCAGTAGCACAACCTCTGCCAAGCGAGCAAAGAAAAGCAACCTCAAAAGAATTTTGGAGCCAACGAACTTGGAGCAATCATGTTTCGAAGTGCTTGGTGTCCAATCGGACGCGTAACAAATCAGCATTCAGGCCAGTCTTCATCTGGGTCTCCATTCGCAACCTCGCTCGTCCATCAACTGTCCATCGACGTCTGACGGTGTCTTGTCGTCCACGCCGGCTTCCACCGTGACTTTCTTCTTCAACCGCCAATTCTCAGAACAGACCGCCGGTACTACCAATCAACCCAATCAATGGCGCGGTTTCGTCCGGACGTGGCCGATTGACCATTGACCATCTCGCATGTCGCCAATCTTCCGGCTGCTCGTGGACCTGGATGCCCACTTTCCATGGCTGCCACCACTCCACCACTGCACACACACTCTCTCTCTTTCAATCGTTAGTTGAACCGTATTGTTGGTATCATCCAATACAATAATACAGCACGACAGTACTGCGTACACATGTCCACTAACATCTTCCGAACCAGACACATCCAGTAGGGACATTCGACTCCCCGAATCGCGAGCTGTCAAGCCGGATACCCCAAGCTGGACACCCCAAGTTCACTGCTCGCGTCATTCCCTGGTCGACTTCTTCCTTCGGTCCCCTGATCTGATGGCATCGACGACGAGAGCGTACTAGGCCCTGATGCCCTGGACCTAGCGCTTCTTGGCTGGCAATCATTCCCCTTTCTCTAGTCTCCGGCGGGTTGGTCTGGTTACACAAGAGAAGGGACGGACAGCCCCGGCTGGATGGAACATGCAAAGTGGAAAGCCATCGCTCATCATCTGCTGTCATGTCATATCTCTCAGCAGCCACAGAACCCAGCAGCCGGAACCAATGCATTGATCGGCCTCCCGTTGATGTGCTGGTGGTCTCGTCGTGGCCCCTCGACCGAGAACCCAGACACTCGGCAATGCTTGACTTGACAGCAGTGTCTGGAGAACGGTTCCTCCAAGCCTGTCATGATGGAACGTCCGCCTTGCCTCCCTGTCGTTCCCTGATTGTCGAGCTGGCAGCCCGAGGACAGCAACCTGGAGAACGTGGGGCGGTTTCCCGGATAATGGAATTCCTCGCAGCAAATCTGAAGCAGCCATGTCGACAATCTTCCCCGTCCATGGTTGGCAGTGGCGGTCTTGCATAACGCAGTATCACCGTCAACGATAACATGCAGCTCCTCTGGTGCATGACATCAATTGCCCACCTCAACGACAGAGCTCTGGAGACTTTTTCAATCATGATCCGCGAGACCCGCCGTTCAAACACCAGTTCGCTCCTACGGATGCAACTAGATATTGATTTGGTCTAGCTAACAGCATGTCGACATCAATATCGACACCGCCAGCCTCCAAGCTGTCCACTTCTGGGACGCACATCGGCGCGAGCTTCTTACTGGTCGAGTCTTGGTCCCTGAAAGCCTTCTTCGACCTGCCCCCAAACGACTACCACCTTGGTGCAGCAGCCGAGTTCTTGACGTATCAGGTGTTAGCAAGCCCGGCATTGGACGGCTGTCAAGTGATGTACCATCTGAGCTGCATGATGGGGAAAGAAAATTCTCTACACGAACGTGGGCCCTCGGGCATCCACAAGACATGCTGGGCTTTGGCCCAGATCTAAGAATTCCTCCTGCTCAAGCTACACGGTGTACCCAAGGGCCAGGTGAGCAATCATGAACTATCCGTTATTGTCAGATGATTGCTTACGCCCGTTGCTTGCAGGGTCGTCGAGGGAACCAGGAGCATGGCAAACAAGCCAAATACCTTGGTTCATCCATTCCTCCCCGGATTATCAGAGTCTCCCCGATTTCAACAATGGTCCTCATCCGATATAGTCCTTGTTTGCCCTCGTCCCAAGCTTGTTTTCAACGCATCTTTCTATAAGTGTCCGCGTGCCAAATGGGGGCCACTGTCAGTCGTGTCCGAAGGAACATATGCCGCTAACTTTAAGCCCCCTCCTTTTCCATGGCTGGACCAATATTTGCTCTTGCCGCGGGAGCACGTCGTCTCGGCTTTTCCCTCCGTGCTTGACTTGACTCCATGAGACACCCACCGGTCTAACCCACAGGACTACCGCCCTCGCCACGAGTCCACGAACGCCTAAAGATGTGCGATAACAGATGCCGGCTTGCCCTCATCAAATTTGGGCCTCTCCGCACGGGACGTTGAGCGACCTTGGGCGTCGAGATGCTTCACAAGAGGAAAGCCGTTTGATGACCCACACCAATGGGGCCTTCCATCACTCCTTGGGACGATCTCTGCCAGACCAATCAGCCTCTAGTAGGCCAACAAACACAGATGTCTCCGTTGAACAGGGCACCGACGAGAAAGACATAAATGGCCTTCCATTTCTTCACGATGATACCCAAGTGACGACTGCTCTACCACCCCTCAACTGACATATCGACTTGTCATCTCCACACGCTTCTGACTGCCTTATTCTTGGATTCCTGTGCCTGACGTGGAGAAGTTCGGAACTATCATGGCTCGGGAGGAACCACTGCAGCGAGAGTCTGGTGCTCCCACTCCCAATAGTCTCGACCTCGGCCTTGTCGGTTCGATGGCTGGGAATGTCATCCTCCCTTCCAAGTCGCCCGTCATCCACGTCGACGAAAAAGGGCTCGAAGAGGTTCGGCAGGCGTTGCAAGCCTGCACCGGTTAGTACCATGTGTCCATGTATGACAAAATATCTCAATCTCTGACACTATCCAGACCTTGGACTCGCTGGGGATGCAATCAACAAGGCCAGCTTTCCCCTCCCCACTCTCCATGTCGTGCTGGACGAGGCCAGGCGTCAAGTCCATGAAGGTCAGGGGTTTGCCATTATCAGGGGCATCGGCCTTTCTAATTCGGCCCAGGATAACACCAACATGTTCCTGGGCTTGGCGAGCTACATTGGAGATGTAAGAGGTGCTCAGGACAAGCAAGGGTCTATGCTCAGTAAGTATACCAGAACCTCGAGAGCTACCTGGTCCTCCGAGCACTTGTCATGGCGGAACAAAAGATGCTAACAAGTGTCCGATAGCTCATGTGACGGCTTCCAAAACTTGGACAGTTCCTCCTGAACTCCGGCACGGTATCCACACCAACACCGGCTTGGTAAGTTCCCATCTTCTGTCGAATCTCATGAGTCAAAGCCCGGCATTTGAACAATTGTTGATGTACGATAGGCCTGGCACAACGATATGGGCACCGACATGATTGCGCTTCACATTCGATCTTTGGCTGAGGAGGGTGGTAACACCTTCGTGGCTGCTTCATGGACCATATACAGGGAACTGATGACGTCATACCCTCAAGTCCTTGAACTTCTGTGTGAGCCATGCTGGCCGATCCAAGTGTACGTCCTGGATTTCTTGTTGTCTTTCGGCTAGTCCCGAGATATCGACCTGTCACATCTCAGAAACCGTTTGCTCAAGCATGTGCTGACGCTGCAGGGGTTATCCATAGTTCTGGAAATCCTCCAAGACACATTGTCGCACCTTTGGTGCAAGTTCACAACAATAGGGTCTATCTCAGCGTCGATCCGGGCCGTCTAGGTCTCCATCCCGTCACCGCTAAAGCCGGCCTGGGCTCTTCCATCCCGAGCCTCACCACTTCGCACCTCCAAGCCCTTGAGACTCTATCTGAGCTCGCGACCAGACACCGGTTGATGCTCGATACTAAGCCCGGGGACATGCTTTTCATCAACAACTGGGCCCTCATTCACGCTAGGGATTCGTACAAGGATCCGAAAGACGGCCCCGGTCGTCACCTTGTTAGACTGTGGCTTAGGGACTCCGAGTTCGGTTGGGATGTTCCCGAGTCCATGCGAGTACCCTGGGAGGCTGCCTTTGGCTCCAATGGAGACGGATATCCGACTGGGATTACTCACAGAAAATATCCGCTTGTCCCATCCCACGACTACAAGCCACCGAAGTACACAGCTGGCTCGGCAGCATTCGTCCTGGACGATTCCGATGATGTGAATGGCGAGGGAACCGAGCCATCAAAATCAACCTGATTCTAGGGCCAACATCTCCTTTTTATTTCGAAATTGTTCAGTATGGGCCGCTTCAAGTTGCTGTTCTCCCGAGTTTTCCCAGCAATGCCTTTTTCGTCTTTTGTCACGCCTCATATCACGCTTCACCCAGTAACACATTGGGCCATCAAGGTTCTTTGCACGACGTCATGGCTTACGATTTCTTACAATCTCTCTTTCTCTCTCTCTTCCTCTTATCTCATGGAGTCTCAAAAGCGTACACGAGCAGGGACGGGATCACAAAGGAGGGGTTTTATTCGATTCGTTCACGGCAAAATTACATGCATTTGGAGGGTCCAATGATTACACCGTTGAGATCGATAGCACGTTTGATCACAAGCAAGACAATAAAACACCCCCCTTGAGTTTCAGCCACATGTCAAGCCAAGAGTTCAACAATCCGCGTAGCGTCCGTTTCGTCATCTCAATCATCGAATTATCTGTATCCGAATGAGCGGGTTTTCAGGAACGGTGTGGCTAAACTGCGAGGAATAACCCATGCCCCTGTTCTACGACGGTTCAGGGTGCGCGATGAAACCTTAGCAGGGACCAGGGTCGCGGGGAAGAAGTTGCTGTCGCCGTTCGGGCCGCTCAATGTGCTGTACGCCACATGCCAAGTCCACCACTTAACTGCGAATACAACGGTACTGGATGAAACGGTGACTGCTGCGAGTACTCGGTAAACTCGGTCCGTTTCAGGAAACGTCCTCCAAAGACCCGCGAGATACTGCCGTTATCTGGGTTCCACTCATCAACAACATTATGGCGGCTCTTCACCATATTTTTCGCCCTCCACGCCTGCTACATTGCAACTACATACATTGGCCATGGCCGCTGATTCGACATGGACGAACCCAAGGCCTTCGAGCAGCTATGGTGACTTTGTCCGTCACCCTTCAACAAATCTGTGAAAGACAACCCTTCACTTCTCCGAACGCTGTTGCGTTGTACTTGTCGCAGCTGTGCCTCTGCAGCCCTAAGCCTACGCTTTCAGAACGCTGTTCAAGCTGTCGAAGCAGCCTTCGTACCAGATATTGCTGTTCACTAATGCCAAGTATCTACGGATTCTCGGTAACAGCGCTGCCTGCCAAACCGACGTGATACTGGGGTGTCACTGCGAGAATCTCACGCCGCGTCAATCATAGGCTTTCTGGTTGATCCTCAGATCCTCTCGAAAGTCTGACACATGAGACAACGGGGCCTCTTCCAAGTCAACTGATCTCTGTGGCATGTCTTGTCTTCAACCTACCCGCCGGAGCCAATCGCATCATCGAGGACAGAACCTTCCTTTACAGCCCGCCGATGACGTCTACTTGAAAGCCCTCCGCCAGTCACTGTGGACCAGTGATACACTCGGTCTGCGTATTCTCATCTCTCCGTGATCGGACGATCACCATACCAGATCCATGAGACGCAGTGCTTCACCTAGTCCAGCCAGCAACCGCAAGTTGGCACTATATTGGCCCAGGCCAAAGGCTTACCCGTTCCTCAGTTGATGGGAACAGCGAGGCATGCATTCGACACTACCCGCCTCTATTGGACCAAATTTAGCTTGGAAGCTTAGTCGTTTAGACACCTCTGTGCCTTGTCATCGTGGGCCCGGAGGTTAGAGCTCTTGGGTGTACGGATTGCTTACTCTGCCCTGGGAAACTCTGTTACCTTGACTTCACATCCCCCACAGGCAAGCGAGAACTGCCCAGAAGATCCGGTGCGACGGGGTTTCGGTTCGTCCCATGTGGAGGAAGACAAGGAACACAGTACTGCAGTCATCAGGTCCCTTTGCAGTGCCGGCTGTTACTTGGAGGTTACTCCAATAAGGCATTCCTACGCTGAGACAAAAGAGGAGGCGGTTTTGGCCCCAAGAGCCGATAATCCTATGTCGGCACAGCCAAGCGACAACACTTCATATCAGCCTTCAAGTGCGCATAGCAGCGCCCCATATATTTCTAGCAACCCAACTTACATGGGAAGGAAGTATTGTGAAAGCTGACTGAAGCATACTGTTACGTACAACATTCACTGACCAGTTCCACAGAAAGGTGGAAGTCGGTCCTACATGACGGCTCTACTTGTACACGTATTGACGGTGGTGGTCTTGCTGATGTGCATACAGTATAAACGATGGTTGTTGCACGCGGTTGATTCAGTTCACATATTGGTCCTTTCAACCGTGCCAAGCTGTGAGATGGTGTTCAAGGTAAGGAAGAAGAGACGAGAGTGCCAGGATTTCCGTCCGGATTAAGCTAACGCTTCCGAGCAGGGCCCCCAAGGCTGATCCGAAGCTAGCCATTATTGAGTACGTTCATCCAATACCAGCGGACCACCTCAAGCGAGTAGAGTGCACCGAGACTGGCAGGTGCGCGTAACTGCCATGTTCCCTACCCTATTGAGAACATCGTATGGGTACTGAGCGGGCCATGTTCTGCTGTCAAGACTCAAACCCACTCTTGACATTCTTCAAGTCGAGCCAGCACAGCACCAAGCAGGAGCCTCAACACCACTACCGAGGGGTTCACAGCGTTGAATAGATTCTCCCCTTCCCATCTTGCAGGATTTGGAACGTGTGCGACAGGAGCGAGACCACCAGAGCACGAAAAAGTCCCCGAGATCCTATGACGATGCTGAAGGATTCCTGTGCAGCATACAGACCATCGCAGAGTAAAGGCTTGCATGATTTTTCTTGGGCCACTCTTGATCCCACACGCTCGTCTTGACATGATGGCGGATCTGGCGGACTCTTGGATCCCATCAATAGCTCAAGGCGGTCATGATGCGTCTCCAACTGACCTTCGAAAGGTACCTGCCTTACTGAAACGACGCAAAGCTCCTGATAATCCCACCCTACCACACAGACACTGTGTCCCCTCAACCATCATGCCCGCAACTACGTCGCTACTGAGGGCGGAATAGCATGCCATGCTTGCTACTCTTGATCCTTTGTTGCCAGCTGCTCAAAGCCGGCAATTCGACCTTGCAGTCTTGCTCTATCACCGTATATCACCGCTTGCTTGGCACGCCGCTGCCCCCAAATCCTCCCACGTTCTTGAAGCCAACAACCACACGCAGAGATAGGTTATCATCGCTGTGATCAGAGTTGATGAATATTTGTGTGTGTCATTGCATACGTGGGCAAGGGCCGTCCTGATGAGATTGCTTCTGCAGTGTGACCACCGTCAGAGAGCTGAAGAGCAGTGCGCTGTACACATTCCTGTCCTGTCCTCTCTCATCATCGTCTTGGACAAGGCATGGATGTTGAGATGCATATCTGCCGGCGATTCGGTTCGAGAAAAGGCGATAAGGGTTTGGACACGTTACATGTTGGGCAGTGAAGAGCCGGCCTCTGAGACACGGCGTACCATTCATATCGTGCCTGAGCCTATCGGCTGGGGAGCTCGAAGAGATTTCCCTACAGTGAGGTTTCGGCACAGCCTTCGCCGCCCACCGATCCAGAAGTCAAGGACCTACGAATGAGTGCTTGGACGTACCCCGTGCTATGTCCCGAGCTCCGTCGTATTCTCGCACAGGCCAGGCTAACGGTGTATCAGTTATCACGAAGCCAGGCGTGTGCCACAAGCGAATTCCCGCTTTTCAGCCAGTTTAGGAGGGATTTGCATCGACTGAGTCTTGGGAGTCCCAAAGTTCCTGATAATGTGCCGAGATTGCTACCGTGCTACAACAGCGACGACACCACTATCCATTGCTGGTCCCACCAGTGATACTGGGCGAGATGAAGAATCCACCTCATCAACTACCATACCACTACCGTTTTCCTGCTTTTTTCAGCATCGTGGGCTTGTAATGGTACATCGGCTTCGAAGTTCCGACAGTTTGTGAAGAAGACAGTCCAACAAGCGCACCAATACGTGGGGATGGTGGCTGGCACTCAATCCCAAGTCTCGAATCAGCATGGAGGATTAAGCTGCTACAGTCTTCGGTACTTGTCGTATGATGTCTCCGGCCATATAGATACACTAGGGGGTACCACCCGGGATCCCGCCCAGTTACGAGAAGACGAGGTCTCGCATTTGGGGGAAGGGAAATCGTCCAGAAAGATACCGTATTTGTCACTCTATGGCCTTGGTCTTGAGCTCTTGCTCCGTACGGACTCCATACAAAGTATAACGGTTCGTTACAGATATCCACTGCATCGTCTTGAACAAGTCAGAGGCTAACATTTGGAGGTAACGCGAATGGAGTCAGACAGGGTGGTTGTACGGCTGTTTTTGCCCGGGGCTAATCCACCATGGTGACAGCAGTCGCAACAGCCATGTCGGGCTCGAGACCTTGTCACCGTCAGTGCGGCATGAAGACAAGTAGGCCCACGCAACCACCGAGGTTGCTTTAGGCAGGCGCTGTAGGATGTCGACACACCCTCTAGGAAGCTCTGGGAAGCTCCCTTTTGTCCACCCCCAGGGAAGGCCCGCTAACCCATCTGGCACTGCATCTGTAACACCATCCCTAGTACGAAAACCTTCTCATATTCGCTAATTCATATATTTAGTACGTTCCTCATAGGCCGAATACGTCGCACCCAAGTCGCTTACTCTCGACCTCAAGGACATGCTCGTCGGCGATGACTTCAAGAAGGACACCATCACTCGCGGTGTGGTGACTGTCTACATCAAGAAAGCTCGCGGGTTCAAGTGCGGCGATGGCGGATTCGGCCCTATCGAGGGAAGCACTAGCTTGAACAGGAAGGTTCTTGAGTGCTAGACCCGCGGTTTTTGTTGTAGGCCGTCTTCGAGTGGCCTTTGCCTTTTCCTTGACTACTTCAAGACATGATGAAAATGTGAGCAAACCTAAAGCTATCTCGTAGTTAACACTAACACTGACAAGCGCAACGGTATCCACTCTTCGGCTAGAATCACGCGGGTGGATATTTCAATGACCTGCTCTAGTTTACCCTACATCCAGGGCAGCTTTCCCCAAGTGAGTAACGCGGGCCGCTGTGCCAGGGCATGGGCAAGCGCGCAAGAGCTCGATTGGGATTAGATACTTGGCGATCTGCTTGCCAACAATTTACCTAATTGTCACTAACAACGTCTTAACTTCCTAGCTTCTGAATA